ACTCAAGAATACATTTTTATTGTATATTATCCAAAATCAAAATATATTCGACAGAATATATTTTTTCTGCGTATTATCTACATTAAATATTTTAAAACATGTGTTTTTTTATAAATTCTCTTCTAACTTTTATATTCGTCCAATGTTATTAAACAAAGTTTATTATTTTTTATTAATAGGAAAATCAATTAGATATGTTAGAAGATGGTCGGAAAAGCGAACCTATTACATATCAGGTAAGTATATCGTTTTCATTTTATCACTGCAAAGGAATTTTGTTTGAAATTCTCGATTGTTTATCTATAGTTTCAAGCACATTTCTGCGTCATAAGCAATTGAGAATAATAATCATACCATAAGTGTAGTATATATTAAGTCTGTCGTACGAACAGAAAATTGGATAATTTGCTGTTAATAAGTAATCCCCGGCAGTTAATAAGTAATTCTCAAGCATACCTACATATAACAAAATGACATTTAAACGACGGTAAATTTTAGTCCTCACATGACTATTTAGACATAAATCAAATCCACAATATATCACATCCACAAAACATTATTTTCACTGACATCTTAATGACTACACAACAGGACTATAATATTATGATCCACGCTTTAATGATCCAAATATCATTTGATTTTTAATCTTACTATAAAATGTTGCTCTATAATATTGCAGAAATATTATTTTACAAGATTGAAATATTATACAAAATATTGTCGAAACATTTATGAAACTCAAATGTGATGCAAGATTTGAAAACTAATTGGACTAATTTCAAAAGATTTGAAAATATCTTAAAATTTATTGGGGTCTTTTCTCTCAGTATAGTAACTCCAAATTACTAGGGTTAAAAATTTATATAAAATAACATACTAATAATTCAAATTATAATTTAATATTAACATATTGTTTTCACAGAATGCAAACTGTGAAGAAAAAAATCCTTGGGCAATCAACAACAACGCAGTCCATGCTTACCTTTCAAAACATCAAAGAATTTTTAAAACGTTTGGCTTAATAATTTTGAATCTTCTTTTCATAACCTACATAGTCTTTGCTAGTATATATTGGGAAAATCAACGTAAGTTAATTTGTCTCCATACAATTTTTAATTTTGACTAATTAATTGATAAAATTTACAAAATTATATAACGATATTTTTTCATTTTTTTTTTAGAAAAAAATTGTGATTTTCAATGGTGCGAAGGCTATGGTTTACTACTTATACTTACAGGACTAATTTATCTTGGTTTATTTTACTTTTTGATTGTAAAACGGTATCTTAGCAAATACATCTTACAATGCTGCCGGCCAGCAACAAATTCCTTGAAGCGTTTGCAAAATACCAAGTAAAATATCAACATTATTCTTAATTCGAATAATAGAAATTATTTATAAGCAATTTTTGCCAACATTTAAATTTTCCAGATATGGAACGCGCATCGGAGCGATAATAGTTTATTTAGTTATACTCATAGCCATCATTATTTTTCTTATCATTGATACCGTCGATTCCAGACACAGGCTAATTAGTATTCTTGGCGTTATTATCTTATTAGTATTAGGCTGGGTGTTTTCTAAATATCCAGGACAGGCAAGTAAATCTTAAAGCTATAAATCTCTAATATTCCGATCATATTTATCATTCTTAAGTTAATGAATTTCTTTTTTTATCGCTTGAAGAAAATCTACGAGAGAATAATTGATTCATGGACTTTTTTTTACATTTTATTATATTTTAGTAATAATTATTTCCATCTGTCGCATCGGCTTAAACGCGTTCCAATTATTATGACATACACGAGTGTTGTCGGAGAAAATTACTAGAGGCATGTGGATAGACGCGTCGCCAATTCCGCTGGAATTAACCCACTTCATTAAATCGTCTAATATACTTAATACACGCGGATCTCTTGTTTGCGCGGATTTTTTTTGTGCAACATATAATTCAAGATATTCTATTTTCCAGAAAAAAAAAGAAAAACTCAAAAACTCTAAAAAATTAAGTATAAATTATAACCAAACAAGTTAAAACTACAAAAATAAATTAATAGATAATATTACAAAAATGTCAATGATCCCGCACGGTAATTGTTACGCAAATTCATATATTATACAATAATAATAATTAATTACAAAATTATCACATACATTTCAATCCCTAAAAGGACTCAAATCTAAGGTCAAAACGTATGCGATGACTTTGTAACAAATTATTAATGTATAAATTTGTACAACAATTACTGCGCTGGCTCGCATTGGTATTTTTATAATATTTTATTCTATTAAGTATAAGTTTAGAGTGACTTAATCTTTTTAATGAAACGTAAAATGATTCAGCTATGTGTAGTTCTTCTCATTTTTTTTTCAATTATTTTAACAATCTTGTTAAATATATACAGATCAATTGGAAACCTGTCATTTGGGGAATGATTTTACAATTTATACTTGGACTTATTACTCTTCGATGGCCTGTTGGTCGTAATATTTTCCAATGTGTGTCTGCCAAAGTGGCCACTTTCTTGAATTACGCTAGATCTGGCTCCAAGTTTGTATTCTCAGAAGACATTGTTAACAAAGGAGTCTTTGCCTTTACGGTTAGTTGATTTACTGTAATGTATTTAGAAATGTAAAACAATTTATTTTTATCATTGAGAGAAATTTTTACATTGCTTCGTTTACCAGTAAAATTATTTTCTTTTAATTTTGTACTGTCATAAATTAGTAGTAACTATCCATTCTTTATCCATTAGGTCGTGCCCGTAATCTTTTTCTTCAACTTCATGGTACAAATTATGTGTTATCTCGGTGCGATGCAATGGATTATTATGAAACTAGGATGGGTCTTGCAAAGTATAATGAGTACAACGCTGTGTGAGTCATTCGTTGCTGTTGCTAATCCTTTCATTGGAATGGTAATATTATTGCAATGTTTAAATAATTAAAACAATAACATTAGTTTACAAAAAATATTTTTTAAATTATTTTAAAGACAAGGTACTTCTTATGGATTTTTAGATGTTGAAAACAATGCCACAAACTCACCAGCACATCAGATTTCCAAAACAATTGAGATTATTTGAAATTTTCTTATAAAAATAAGATATTGAAATTAAAAACATTTATTTTAATGAACAATATATTCATGACTTCTAATTGGAATTTAAAAAAAAAATATTAATCTTTTTTAAAAAAAAATTCAAATATTGTAAAAAATAATTTTTTCACATTAAACTTTATTTTGAAATGTAATGTGAGAATGAAATTTAGCTTATGCGCCACTTTCAGTAGCTAAACATTTATAACAAACATGAATCTTGTGTCTGAATGAAAATAATTTAAACTAATGTAATTCGTTTATATTCTCGCAAAATATTTCTAGTCTCAATTTAAAGCTGATTTATTTTGTCTTTTAGTCCGAATCCCCTCTTCTAATTAAACCATATCTCAATCAATTGACTTCCTCGGAGTTGCATGCTGTATTAAGTTCGGGATTTTCTACAGTTTCTGGTCTCTGTCACATACATTTCACACATATATGTCACTGGCATTAAATTTCAATTTCTAATCATATTTGCACTCATTACAGGTACGGTATTAGCCGCTTATATATCATTTGGTGCTAAACCGGCTCATTTAATAACCGCTTCCATAATGTCTGCACCAACTTCTTTAGCCTATTCCAAGCTCTTTTATCCAGAAACTGAACGAAGTTTCACAAAATCCGAAAATATCAAGCTTGAAAAATCGTAAGTGCTTCATAAATCGGAAACTTCTGCAAATCATTTGTCTTAATAACAGCTATGGTAAAAATATGAATTGTAATTAGATCGGAAAATAGTATTTTGGATGCCGCAACGAATGGTGCATTAGCTGCGATCCCAATCGTTTTGGGTATAATCGCAAATATCGTAGCTTTTGTATCTTTTATCGCATTTTTAAATGGAATACTCTCTTGGTTCGGCAGTCTGGTTGGTTACGAACAACTGAGTCTCGAGGTAAAACAATTTTTCAAAGCTGATCTTCGCAGCTTATAAAAATATATGGTTTTAGGCAAATTTTAGGATTATAGTTTTGCAGATTATATTGGCAAAAATATTTATGCCACTAAGTTGGGTGATGGGCGTTCCTTGGGAACATTGCGAAGACGTAGGAATGCTGATAGGCATGAAGACAATTATCAATGAATTAGTCGCTTATCAAAGGATGGGTGAATTGATAAAGCAGGGTCGAATATACGGAAGATCGGAAGCGATAGCCACATACGCGATCTGCGGTTTCGCGAATCCAAGTTCGATTGGCATCCAGGTTGGCCTGTATTCGTCTTTGATGCCAGAAAAGAAAGAGCAAGTAACGAAAGTCGTTGTGCGAGCCTTCGTTACTGGTAGCGCCGTCTGTTTTCTCACAGCTAGTATCGCCGGTAAAGTTGGAATCCAAATTCATAACATGTTATATTTCCTCAAGTTTCAGCTCCTTTATAGAAATCCAATTTAACGCTAGCTAATTTAATATACTAAAAAATAGTGATTAATTATTTTTATTTCAAGTATTAAAAACTTTTAATATTCAAAATAAATAATTAATCTTCTAGAATAAAAGTTCTGTAATGATTGCATCAAACATTTATATTTCACAATTTATTTCATTTTGTTTCAGGTGTATTACTCGATGATACTTCAATATTATCTGTCTCAGACAATATAACAATGTCAAACGTCACTTCGACATTAACTTCGTTAATTTAAAAAGTTACATCAGAATTAGGAAATTATATCACAGTGATATTACACATATTGTTAAAATTTCGCATTTTCATATTTTTTTTTATTTCTTTGAGAAGAAATGACAGTAAACAACTATTTTTGTTAAGTAATTATAAGTGTTATAATTATATATAATTGTTAAATTATATAATTGTTAACAGTATTTCAGATGAAATAATAATGAAAGGAGACGCAAATAAATTTTATTATATCTTTTTTATAAGTAATTTTTATAAACATTAAAATACAACTTATAAGTAGCGTACTATTCGAAATCACCAATCCTGACTGGAAACGACGTTTAAACCTAATAAAATTAAATACGATAAAGAAAGCCATGATCGGTCAAAGTTGGATGTTTCAAATAATATGTTATATATTCTTATGTTAAATTAATTTGTTCCAGATATGATTGCGAGCCGATAACATTCATTTTGTTATTTTATAATTCCCTCTTAATATATTCCCCTCTTAATAAATTAGATTAGAAAGAAAGGAAGAAAGAAAATAAGAAACTTATTGCGAAAAATATTACCTCAGCTAGGATTCCAACCTGGGACCTCTCAACTTTCCGATGTATTGAAATCGAATGTTATTGGCTCGCAATTATATCTGAAATAAATTAATTTAATATATAATGTATTATTTGAAACATCCAACTTTGACCAATCATGGCTTTCTTTCGTATTTGATGTATTCATACATATGGTCGTGCTTAAAATTCTCAAAATGTTTTCTAATAAAATTAATAAAATTCCGCGCACAATAATATATACTAATAATATATACTAATTATAAGTTAAAATGACAAAGTCACATTACATAATGTGATATACTTATTGTACACTTGTGCCATTATTTGTACGTTATTTTGTATGTATAATTATTTACCTACATCAATTAATTACCAAGAAATACAAATTCCCCCCAAAAATAAGCTCCTGTTTATTTATTGTATATTAATTAAGAATATTAAACCTATAATATCGCAACGATATAAATGTCGCAATGCAGTAATATCACAATGTCTCGAAAATGTGGAATGATCGCATGTAATACTTCGAAAAGCCGAAAGTAGATGAACTATCGTTTTCATTTTCTATAATCATTTATGGTAGAGCATGCAACTGATAAGTCTCATAAATGCTATCAGTGCGGTTAAACACGTCGGCAGTCACCTCCAACATTTTAGGTAAAACATCTATATTCCGCTGAACATTTTCACCGCAAACCTGAGGAGATAAATGTAAGTTTATACCTGTTCAATATATCAACTACTTCATAGTCCTAAAATGATTCTGCCATTTACCTTTTTGAATAAAATCTCCCTACTAGGCATAGTGTACATTGCAACTATTGCAGCTTTCCTGATCATCCATGGATGATGCTTGGCCAAAGTTTTATTGTATGCATCTTGACAACAAGAAGTCGTTTTCTCAATATCTGCGAGATCACCCAGTTGTTGTAAAAATTCCCTAATAAAATCTAGAGGGCCAAATAATATAAGTCAGATGTCAATTTCTAAATCAATATCAAGAGATAAATAAAATCTCATAATGTAATTATACCTAATAATACCTAATAATAATACCTAAGCCTCTATGAAGTCTCAATAAAGTACGTGCGCCATTGACAAAATCGGCTTTCTCTAAAAGTTTGTTTTCTCTTTCATGTTCAATCATAGATTTAACAGTCATATAATTCTGAGCATCTTTATTTTTTAATTCAGTCAAGATATCTATCTTTTGTTTCAGATCAGAAGAGACAAAGCTGAAGACACTGCCCATCAGCTGAAAAAATCTGTATGTGCACGCAGCATGTTACAAAACACAAATCTTACATCGTAATCTCAAATCTGATATCACAAATTGATAAGAGATAATATAAATAATTTGCCGAATTTATGAAGCAAATATAAAATGATAACAGTAAAAAATTTGAATCTCTTAATAATATCAAAGAATTACAGTTTTTATATAATGACATATTTGTGTAAATGGCAATATATAACATATTATTTATAAATATTTGATTCAAATTTTTATTTATTAAATTTTGGATAAAAACAATATAAGATGATATATAATGTAAATATTTTTAATACAATATTATAAAGAATTACTTAATCGAATCGTTATTTGCCTTCAATTATTTGTTTTACTTTGATATGTTGCAAAGATGTCTTAAGACTGCTTATCAACCGTAATAAATCAGATAATAATTTGAATACGTCTGTGCATAATAAGGTTATGTTTTTATGACAAGTCAGCAATCCAACTTACTTGTATAGTTCGTTGTAGGCCTCCAGATATGCTTTTAGATCAATATCGTCATTTTCCACGAGAGCTTGATCAAAATGATCATGTACCGTTCGCAAATCAAAGAAATTTAATTCTGGCCCCTCCGCCATCGTAGGAATTATTGCATTCAATCAGAGTCCAAACTACTCCAAATTCTCTCTTGAAAAAATTTGCAACAAGCGCCGCCTGTCATAGGACTCTGATCTGAACGAACTAAATTGGTCACGTGATAAGAAGTAGGGATTTCAAATCCATGTGCATACTTACGAATATATGCACAACATAATCCACATATAAATATACATATACCTACTTATACCACGTGCACATACATATGCTTAGGAAGATGCTTCTATTTTATCAAATATGATACTTACACTGTGTACAAATAAACATGATTCTCGAGACATCGACAGATCACTACATACCATTATTATATCAATATCCTTAAACAAAGTTTATAACAGGAATATAATTATATATAATTTAGAAAAATATTAATTTATGTATACGATAATTATACATGGATTGGTATAGTGTATAAAAAATGTTTCACTGAGTCATAAGAAATATATATGAATATATTTCTTCACAATTATACAGTCGTTAACATTCATGTATTATCGAAGTAGCAGTTTCCATACGATCGCAAAAGTCAAGCAACGCTAGATGGGGTGGATATACCTTAGGATAGGCGATCACTTTGGAACACCATGAAATTAATTCCTAGATTTATAGAAAACATTTTTTATCTTAATTTTGCCGTGTGTATTCTAGAATATCTATGATACTAAAATAAATTCTTAAAGATAGAAAATTTCAAAGAATGAAGAGAAAAAGGAAGATGGCGATAGAAGGTAACGTCAATGATAAGGACATATTTAAATATATATATATCAGCAAAAGAAATTATCGTAGTGTCTCTCTCATAAAGTCGCTATGTCAGATATCTTGAATATAAAATTCTATCATGCAAAAATAATGCAGAGAAAAAGAGCATTACCAGTAGACGAGAAATAAGGAATTTCACTAAGCAACATACGTTCGAACGTAGACGCCGACTGTGGTACCGTCATTCTCCACGAGAAGCGCTACACTCGAAAAATTATTGTGAAGCACTATATATTCAAATTAAGCAACACTTTATATTATAAACAAAAAAAAATATATATATATTATATTTAAATATTTCTGAAATATATTCATTCAATAATCTTTTTTCTGTCATGTAAATATATCACATTTGATGTTTTCATAAAACATGTGTAAAATGTACGTGCGTAGCTGAAGACTACGTTTCTCAATACATAGCTTAGAAATTGTGTTTACACATTATTTACTCCCAACCTCTATTTGTCGAACAATCGACAAATATGTCGCATTTACCGATTTGGTTTCAACAAGGGGAACTGGGAAACTCCTGCAAATATCTTGCCACCTCGTCTTCGGCTTATTTGGACCGGAATATTTCAGCATTTCTATGCACGAATGAGATAAAAATACGCGCTGACAGAATTAAGCTTAACTTTTCTCTTCTAAATATCTACAAAACACAATAGAATCATCATTGTTAATTCTTTCATAATTATAAATTTTGATATAATCTCATGATGTCTTATGATATAATCATATTATATTACAAATATTAAATATGTACAAATTAATCATACGTGTTAAAAGAATACACCAAATGAAAATTGATATTCTACTTTATTCTCACTCTTCAGTTTGTTTCTTCAATTAATTATCTATTTAATTTAATCATACATTCAACTGTGCGATAAATTGAATTTCTGACATGGCTGGCCTATTCCAAGTATTATTATTATACTGCATATTAATGCAATTCATGGCACAGCGGTGCTCCGAGAGTTGCACAGTCATTGATAGCGTACGTGACAGAGAAACAATAAACAAACAATACTAAAATCTCGCTGACACGTCGGTTCGCGTAGATAACTGGTCTCCCTGCAGGCGTTAAATAATTCACCGCAACCGGGACTGAGAGTCGCGGACGAGAAGCGGGGTTTGCGGAGGAGCAAAGGAGGCGGGGTTGGTTGAGAAGAGCCGATTAAATATTCAGATGTCCCTCAACGCAAATAGAGTAAAGTCAAGCGCGACGTCGTGCGCAGAGGCTCGTAATCTGAAAACTGTGCGAGGTCGAAAGGAAAAGCAGATCTTCGCTTCTGATAACGGATTTGCTTGTACAGCGTTACGATGCATCTTAAGTAGATCGCGTTTCCAAAAGTTTCTGCCGATGAGGAGAAGATTGCCAAGGAATATCACGTTGCTCGCGCAAGAGAAATCGCAATAAATATATTCCGGTCGAACAAACGTGGATGTTTTTACGACGGCAACACATTTCCGGTCAAGCGATCTCACGGGGACGCCGACTTCAACGACCAATCGCACGACGACGTCGTAGCTGCGGCGCATAAAAATATGTCACTAGGGTGCCGTAATATCTTCGTTGTTGAGACTTATCGACGAGGAAACGCGTCGTACCCTCTCGTGATTCCTGGACATGGTCGGTGATCGTATCTTCCCTCGGCGGCACTTTATCGCTTCTCTGGAAAACACGAAACCAACCACCGACCGGCTAAAAAGAATCGTTCAACGAGGCGTGCATCGCTCATCGTTCTAATTATCTCAGTAACCCAATCTATCCGTCGCGCCGTGTCTTTGGCTTCCCGCTTCCCTTCGGAACTTCTCGATTCTCTCGTCTCGGTCTGCCGTCGGCCTAGGCAGCAACCCTCCTCGACTCTTCCCCGTCGTCTTTCGTACAATCATCCTTCTTCGTCTTTCTTCATCCTGTCCACATTGAACGTCCGGTCGCATCCTTGTCTCTTCTCTTCTCTCTTCTTAGCAGCTAGTTGTCTCCTTCTTTCCATCTCGAAGTCTAACTGCGGAATCGTCGACGACCGCTCATCTAAGTTTAACAATTAACGCTCGAGCGGGGAAAAATAAATTAATTGCATGCAGCCGGTGCTGCGTGAAACATGTCACGAACATTCAATTTAATCGACAGACATTCCGTTATCTGATATAGAAGATTTAGGACTTGGAATGGGCCGGACATATCAGAAACGAAATCTTTTAATTTCGCGGTTAGAACATATTTTTTATGCATAAATTCTTTACGAGTAAATCACTAGTTGTCCGTAATTTGTCGTTAAATTAAGAATATGTATATTGAACAATCGAAATTCTTACTGGCTAATTGATTTTTAAGAAAACTATATTAACCGTAATAGAAATACATATATTTTGTGACGTTAAAAAAATATATGGGTCATTGGGACTCGCTAAAATGTTTTCTGTTACAGTTTTAGAAGCTTTCAAATTTTTACCTATAAAAAGTTGCAATATTTGAACTTAACATAAATATAGTACGATAATTAGCTTACCTAAACGAAATAAAACTGTGAAAAATAAGATTGTGTAACATAAAATTATTCCAAATCATTATACTATTTAAAATTATATTATGTAAGAAATTGTTCGAAGGTCACCAAACATATGTATTCAGTTGTGGATTAACAAGTATATTAACCAAAATATAAATTTAACTGATTGACTTTCAATACGTTCTTATTTAAAAAAGAATGTCGAAATCGCTGTATCTTCGCCTTCAACTTTCTCCCTCTCACATCGTTCTTTTGTCCCGATTGTCAGGCATGTCAGAAACGACAAGACGACAAAGTAGCGGGAGACGAGAAGGGTGTTTGTCATATGTCGATAGGCGTCAGAATTGACACATTCGCCGAGTACGAAGCGGAAGTGGCGTTTGGGGCGACGTACTAGAAAGATTCGAGGGTGCAAGACAGATAAATATTTGAGGAATTTGTTGTCGGATGAAGGCGGCGTGAGAGAGACTCATCGCTTGTTTGGCGGTTCTGTTAAAGGAATTTCGGGCGATTTTCATAGCTTTGCATACAGAAAATACCAAGAGCCGCCAAAAATATATATAGATATATAATTTTTATTGTTCATATTGTCCACATGTGATCGAGCATCGACAAAAAAGTGCGATTGCGATCTTACATTTGCCTCACTTTGCATTAAGGTGCTATAACAATCTCCTGCAATTATTTCCATTCAAGGAAGGAGAAATTCTAAATTTTAGCAAAGCATCAGACATAAATGCAAGAAAGATGCGGAAGGAAAGAGGAACAATGAGAAATTTCTAACCCTTCGCTATACAGCGTTACACCCTCGTGTGCGGTTCGTAGGAAAAGTTTTAGGTGAACTGCGTACATGAGGGTTGGAGACAGACCTTTTCGCAAAAGGGTCTAACGACAGTTTTGTATCCCGTGGAAAATCACTGTCAACCAACAAGAGTCTGTAAAGTGTCGCATTATACAAATACATACGTACGCTTGTAAAGTCGTAGCCAAAAGTGCTGATAATCATCGCCGTTGATCTCGAGAAATAAAATGCATTAAAAAAATGCAAAGTTTAATTTGCAAAGTAAATAATGAGGATACAATTACGTTCGAAGAGCCATCTTCTGTCTCAGAATTTATGAGCTTTCGATATATTTGAAATAACAATGCATTATATATGATTAACTAATTTCTCTTTACCATGGTATTGTACAATAAAGACGTATAAGTGTAGTGAGACATTAAAAATTATCTACACACCACAAAAAAAAAAACAAAGTAATTGAAACAGTTATAATTGAAACTTTTGTCAGCGACCGTACGTGAAGTAAAGGCGCATACTCTCTCACATATACGTACGCACACTTGTACGGCGGGATGTAACAGATACAGACGGCGCCTGCGAAAAGCCCGGATACCCAGGGTAAAACGAGCCTGGGAAGTTCATTAATGGATTAAGAGTGCTCGATCGATACGATTAGCGCGACGTGGCCAGCCGCTTCTGATATGCACAACATGCATTCGAACGTAACCTAGAATCCATGATTTTGTTGTGCATGGAGGTGATTAATTGGAAAACAGGAAAATAAAAACGTTTCGTGAAAAGAATTATGTTGTCAATTTTTGACTCCGGATAACTGCATTGATCTGAATCGCTGGTATTTCAATCGGAGTTTTTTTTTTTTTTTCACGTTACAGAGAGAAGCGTTTGTTATTTCATTCTG